TGGGGACTAAATCACAATCGAGGTACGTGCCCTTGACTGGAATCGAGCCCTTGACTCTTTGGTCTGAGACACTTCCAACTGCTGAGCCAAACCAGCCAGGGTCCAGCAAATTATCTTTATTAACTTTTCTCCTCATCTCCTTTGAGGAAATACTCCAAGGTCAGCTGTCACCTGCTCATAATGTCTGTAAGATAATTGACTGGGATTCTCCAGTTTGATTACAGTAAATGGGACAAGTAAATCAATTCAGTGCAAGAAAGAGGGCAACCACCAATTTTTCTCCCCAAGCTACCAGCTAGATTTTATAAGAGATAACAGTTGAGAATTAGATTATGGCAATTCTTCTTTTCAATCTAACTTCTAAAGCACTGTGATGTGATTGTTATCTAGAAATGAAGCGCACCTGCCGTATTCTTTATATGACAACCATGGTTGAATTTAGTGCAAACAATACATTGCATTTTATAGACTATAGCCTCTAACAATTCATTGTTACTCCAATGCTGTGCAGGCTTTCTTCTGCAAAATTGAAGCAGTGTAGCACTAAGAAAAGAGACTCTGGGGAAGAGGAAATGAAATTAACTGGATAAATCCTAATTTGGAAGGGAGAAAAATGACAAATGAAAGAAAAATGCAAATGGCAGAGGAGCAAATAGTTTCTGCTAATGTCTCTGTCTCCTGATAATATTTTCAAACTGAGATTATAGATGGGCAGCTAAAGCTGGAAGATGAATAATAAAAATATCTTGAATCCTACTGGAATGTCATGTTCTACTTAATTTTTTTCCATTCTTGGGGAGACAAACAAAATTATACTAATTGTCAACAAAGAAAACACAATACTGTTACATATAAGTAGAAAATATACAATCATATTCACTCCAAACTACCTTCTCTCTTCTTCACTCATCCTTAAATAACTCCTACTTTTTCAAGGGAGAACCCTTTTTTTTGGGCGATGGGAGACTGTGCCTACAATCCTTAGCAATGATTTTCTGACTGCTAAGTACCATTAGTCATGCATCCTCCTCATGCCCATAAATGGAGGCCAAGCCCACACTGATGCTACCAGACGAATTTAAACAAGGCATGTTCTGAGAGAGCCCTCAGAGCCAGACTGACAACACTCCTGAAGCAAAACCCTCTTCAACACAAGCATGTTTTGTTTCATCTTACGCCGGGGTGCACACTGCTAATAGATGTGTAGACCAACCTGCAGTGGCTGTTGTATACCTAAGGTGTGGAGCAGCCCTCCTACTGGGATATCAAGCTGGGGTGTTGTTTCATGAGGGACAGTTGAGGTCCATATATTTAGTGTTAAGAAGAGAGTCTATTTCTTTTTTAAAAAATATGTTTTTATTGATTTTCGGAGAGGGGGGCGGACAGAAGAGGGAGAGAGAAACACTGAGAGAGAGATCAGCTGCCTCCTGCATGCCCCCCACTGGGGATCAAGCCTGAAACCCTGGCATGTGCCCTGACCAGGAATCTGGTGACCTCTTGGTGAGTGGGACCACACCCAACCAACTGAGCCACTCCGGCCAGGGCTAGAAGAGAGTCTATTTCTTTTTTTTTTTAAATCCTCACCTGGGGATATTTTTCTATTTATCTTCAGATAGAGTGGGAGGGAGAGAGAGAGAGAGAAAGGGAGAGAAAGAGAGAAACATCGATGTGAGACAGACATATCAACTAGTTGCCTCCCATACGACCCAGACCAGGGCCGGGGATGAACCACACTGAGGTACATGCCCTTGGCTGGAATTGAACCCGCAACTCATTGTTCCGAGGGCCGATACTCTAACGCCGAACCAAACCGGCCAGGGCAAGAGTCTATTTCTTTTGATGAATAGTTTTCTCTTCATCTTAGATTAGAGCAGTCAATCATTCACTCATTCATTTATTCATTCCTTGTCCTATCAAACATCCGGGTGCCCACATGCGGGTTTCAGACTGGGCAACTCTTATGAGAGAAAAGTTCAAATGATTTTCACCAAGAAAAGTTGAAATGATTTCAACAGAATCTCAGCTAAGTACTAGATAGGGTTTATGAGAAGAGAATCAGCTTCAATTTTTACTGCCTTAATCAACTCTTATGCCATAGAAAGTTAGTATGAGGTGGTAGAAAGATCAATGGACTAATAATGAGAAATTCTGGGTTCAAGTTCCAATCACAAAGGGACTGCATGTCTGTGGGTAATTTACTTAACCTTCCTGGGCCTCACTTTCCATTTCTGAACAATGAGTGGGTTGGACTTAAGATTCCTTCCATCTCTAAAATTCTTTTATTCTATATGGTAATACATTCCACAAAGTTTCTTTTGTGACCAGAATAAATCTGTGATTTCTTTGCTCAAGTTTCCCTCTTGACCTCTTTGATTGTTAAACCAAATATGAACAAGAAGCAATAACATTTTGTCACAGGCAACAAATTGCCCTTCTACAGAAGGAAGTTTGGAGGTCAGGCCACCCAATGCAATATCTAAATCCAAAGGCAATGGTCTGACCAACTTGTGAGCTGGCGGGCTGCCATCCAGAAGGATGGAAATGGCTGTAGGCAGCCAAAATTCTTGGCTGGTACATTTTTAATAAACATAGAAAAGAAGAACAGCATTTTCCACGTGGATTGCTTAATTTGGTACCCATACCACTGGAACATTTGCTGTTAGGATAAAGATGATGTGATATATCACTTATTTAGCACAGGATGGATTAACTTTCACAAATGAGAAGTAGGTTATGGAGTCATCTGTAAGGAATTTTTATCCTTGCCTCTTGTCTCTGGCAGGAGATAGTTGGAGTCTTTACAGCAAAATCTCCACCCCTTTTGGCCCTTTGTAAGACTTTTCCCTGAAACATAAGCTTTGCTGGATTTACTGTATCGCTATGAATGGACTAAGGCAAATTGGTGAGAATTCTTTGTGGTCAAGTATGTTTTATTAATACTTTCCCAAGATGGTTCCATATGTCTGATTCTTTTCAAGAAAAAAGCCTTCACAGCAAATGTTCTTTGGTTAATTTCGAGAATAATATTTGAGGTGCATGTGTTTTAATTACATATAGTGACTATCTATGAGAGGACAATGAGCCTCCTAAGTTATGATTTTTAATAGGGCGTGTTGCACGAACTCATCCAGTTCTTGAGCTCCGCATTTCCCTGTCTCTACTTGTAATATGGCAATAAGGACCTTTGACTGTCAAGGGTGTTTTCTCCCCAGTGCTTGGAGATCCTTGAATAAAATACTCTGTGATGGTAAGCTGTAATTAGGTATGTGGGTGGAAATTAGTTCTTTAAGTACACCACGTTTAAGCAGAGGCACTGTATTTTTTTTTTTAGTCCCTGAGGCCACTCTGGTTCTGTGCCATAGCTCCAGGTCACTGCTTCTCTATAGGGCTGTTGGTTTGAGGCTGCAGGTTCCAAAAAGAAAATAACTCAGTATTGAGCCTGAAACCAGGAAGCTTTTTATAGTTAAAACTGGGCCACACAGTTCCATTATAGACAAGTCAGGCATTGACCAAGTATGACTCTACCTTGCTCATCTTCCTTTTGCAAGTATAAACGATCTCAACGGTGATAACTCTAATTTGAACTGTGTCTCCGTCTTAAAAGAAAGCATCGAAACTTTTGAATAGATCTCCTGGAGTCACGATAGGTCCTCCATTTTGGATCAGATCCTCCAGTAAAACCAACCCCGTGGCAGCAGACCTTTCCCATCCCAGTCCTTCTGTGATAGAAAACACAGTCCCTTCCTTTCTCAGGATTACGAGGGGCCTGCAATCTGCCCAGCTGAATTTATCTGATTACTGGATTTGCATTTGGATACCGCAAAACTCCCGCAACTGTACATTCCTGCTTCCTAGACGCCCCCTCCCCCCACCCGACTGGAAATGAATCTGCCCCGCCAGCATCTCACATCTTTGTCTACCTTTTCAAGGGGGTGATTTCGAGGCAGAAGGTGAATGACGGAACATGTAAAACTATCGTGAGTTCACACCCCCTCCCCCGGGCAGGAATTCCCTTTTCGCTAATGACGATAGAAAGTGGTTCCACTCGCTGCGTCGCTTCCACTCGGCGGCGCCGCGGCGCCCGGCGACTGCGTGTCCCCGCGAGCTGGCCGCGTGGGTCGGGAGATGAAGTCATCCCCCTCCATAGTGTGCACATCAGCTCGTTAAGTCGGCAGGGCACGCAGGGGTTCCTCGGGAAGAAAGAGGAGCGCAGCGAACAATGATGAGCGTATTTCACGTGCACACTCCCCCTCCCCACCCCGGAGGAACGGCTGGGGGCGCGGCGCGGCTGCCCGGGACGCCCGCCGCTCGCCGGCCCCGGTCCTCGGCTAGCAACAGGGCACGCTGAGGACGAGCCCCGCGCGGGGGCCCCCGGCCGCGACAGACCCGGAGTCCCCAGGCCCGGTGCCCAGTCACGCATCCCGGTCGCCGCCTCCCGGCTCCCCACGCGGGTGCCCAGAGGTCCCGGCGCCGCGGACGCAGGGGAGGCCCCGGAGCTCCCCCAGCCTCCCGGGAGCGCGAGGCGGCGGGGAGGGGGCCGAAGGCCAAGGACAACCCCGGGCGAGGAACCCTCGGCGGAGGGGGGCAGCCCCAATCCCACAGGGCTGGAGGGGGCGGGGTGGGGAAGCAACAAAGAGCCTGACCACCCCGACGTCGCCGCGCCCGCTCCCGCCCCTCCCGCTCTCTGCAGTCCGGCGGGGGCCCGGGCCCGCGGCGGGTGGGGAGCGCCCGACCCCCCGCCGCCCCTCCCCCCGCGCCGCCCCCTCGCCCCGGGGGAAGGAGGGGAGGAGGGCGGCGCCTGCGTGCTCCTCCGCCGCGCGCCCCGCCTCCTCCCGGGCTCCTGGCGGCGGCGATCCCGACTCTCCCGCGGCTGCCGCAGCTGCCGGTTGCACACGGCCTGGGCGGGCGCGGGCCTGGGGAGCGGCGGCCGGGCGCGCGGCCCCGGCGGGCACCCCTGGGAGGGCGGCCGAGGAAGTCCCGGAGGCGGCGGCGAAGGAGGAGGGAGGCTGCGGCGGCCGCGGGACCGCTCGGCGCTCGGCCTCTCCGCCCCCTCGCAGCCTTTCTTTCGCCCTCTTCCCTCACACTCCCGGCCGGCGCCTCGGCTTTGTGCGCGGAGATGGTGTAGCCCCCCGGCCGCCGCAGGAAGCCGCCGGCCACTTGTCTCCCGTCTCCGAGCTGCGTCCCCGCCCCTGGAGGACGGACCCCCTGGGCTCAGCGCCTCCCGCGTCTCCCGGCTGCTGGGGAAGCCTCGGCGCCGCCGGCACCATGAGGTGAGGGGCGCGCGGGGCGCGGGGCGGGGGCCGGGCGCCGGGCGGGCCATTGTGCCCCGGGAGCCGCGACCCGCTGTCCTCGGACCCCGCCTTCCCTTCGCGGCGCGGCTCCCGGCTCTCCGGGCTGTTCTCTCCCTCCCCCTTTTGTCCCTGCTCATTTCTCTTTCTTTCTTTTAACCCCCCCCAGCCCCTCATATTGGGGGGGGGTCCTCTTTCCGACGGTCTCCCGTGTTTCCTCCAATGCTGGTCTCGGGCCCCGGAGTTCCCTTCCCAAATTTAATTTGCGCCCGGCTCCCTCCCCCAGCCGTCGCAGCCAGACCTGGGAGGTCGGGAGGGGCCCGGGAATCGCGTGCGTGTGCTCGGGGACAGGCATCTTCCCGCGTGTCCGAAGAAACCCCGTGCACTCCTGTGGCCCAACTCTCGTGTTTAATTTAAAAAGGAAAAGTTTGAGCGATCTGAAATCTCTGCGGGTGTAAAGTGCTCCGGCCGTGGGAGGGGAAGGAGCTCCGAAAGGGGCAATTTCCCGCAGGGGAGGGACGGGGAAAGGGTTTATTAGGGTTATAAGGGGGAGGGGAGTACAAGACTAGGGTAAGTTAGTTGTTTGGGGTGTGTAAGCGGGGGCGGGGAGGGATCTGTTTGCAAAACCCCTTTCTCTCCTTCCTCTGTGCAGCCCGTGTTGCATTGCAGCAGCTGCTTCCCCCTGGCCTCTGATCAATACAACAAGCTAACATTTTTCCGCCTCAGAGACGGGAATCGAACGTACCGTCGTAATCTAGTTTTTTTTAATTGCTACGATGAAACATACGGTGACATTTTTCTTTTGTGTGTCTCCAATTGTGTTAGGGAATAAACCATGGTGTGGTGTGTCATTCATTGGAGGTTTTTTTTCAGCCTTTTCCTAAGCCTGTTGTGTGCCCATAACCTTCTCTTTTCGGATTGGTGCAAGACTTCGTGAGAAATGGGACTTGGTAGACCGAAGGCTGATCCATTCTGCGTTATCATCCTATAGGCCTTTCTTTTAAGTTGAACAATTGTGGATAAAGTAAATTACTCCATTTCTGTGTCCTGGAAGAGATAGTCTTACAGTTCATTTGGATTTGAGTCTCCTTTGTGTTAAAGATTAATGGCCAACCGTTGCCAAGACCTTTATAATGTAATATAATGAGATTTGAATGATATAATCTACGAATTCTTTTGCTTTGGCAAGAAAATGTCATGTCATTGGAATTCTTTCTCAAATTAAGTAGTTTCCCCTTTAAACTTTAGTTATCTGTTTTCTTTTTCTATCACGATTGAACACTTTCCCATTGTTTTAAATATATATATTTTTTGTGATACAGCCATGTACTTCAGTTTACTGTGAAATTGAATTAATGTTTTTCTCTTTTTCCAAGTTATAGATCTTTATTGCAGTGGCCTTAAAAATTGTATTAAATACTGTGTCTCTAAGTGACCCCTTTTCCTTCGTGATTTCACATGAGTTATTTTCAAATGTAATGGATCAGTTTAAAATGTAATTATGACCTACAAACTAAGACACACAATTGTAAAATACGGCTTAGAAGACTCAAGCCATTATTATTATTTTTTAAAATCAAGTTACTAATGTCATTGAAAACTCAGAAACTATAATAACATATATGTAATGTTATATCTTATAATACTTTTTATTGTTGATTTCTCCTCTAAAGATTTAATACTATAGGGTTCTTGCAGATCACAAGCCATCAGTTTTTTCCCCAAACTTTGGGTAAACTTACCTCAACACTGAACAATGTAAAAACAGTGAAACTAGGATATTTTTAAATAAAATGATTGTAAAGTTTTCTGATTCAGAGGTTGTGAGCCAAAAAATGTTCAAGTTTTGAGTAATCAGTGACGTGTATGATCTCTATCATGTATCCTTGTTAATCTGTCACAGGTAAATTATGTCTTCACTTAAAAGTATCTTTTCTAATAAAAAGCAACTTGTACTTTTAAAGCTTTTTCTGCTCTATTCCTTATTAAATGTAGAGAGGGAGGAATCACGCTGATGCTTTCCAGCATCATAAATATAGACTACACTGGTCTGAAAAAGTTTGTTCAAGCAGTCTACAGTAATTCTTTGTAGGCTAATTTTGAATAATTTAAAAGCATACAAGAGGATCAGCTTTTCACTTTGGAAGGCATTGGATTATTTGGTTGGTGGTTTGTGTAACATGTGTACACATTTCCTTTGATACCTGTAAAAAGTAGGATGGTCTGATTTGAGGGTTAAAAGTTTCTTGTGCTGATTGCAAAATCTTTGAGATATTTTGGGGCTTATGATAGGGCTTTTCAGGTTATATTAATATTTGACTTAGTCTCAATGCTTTCAAGTACTGTAGGACATAAGTGTTATACTATTAAATCAAGTCTATTTTAGTTATATTAAGGAGTCGTTATGTTTTAAAGGCCATCCAGAAATAGGAATGCCTGGGTTGGAATTTCCACTTAAGTTGGTCAGAATTCTGAAGAGAGAATATGATGAATATGTTACTGTTTAAGTATTTGGGATAAGATTTCTTAGATGACTTTAATTTTAGGAATAGCATGTGATGTAATGTAATAATCCCTATACAGAAGGGAACTCAATAATACTTTACATTCCTGAAACAATCTTAGAGGCATTCTACACATGTTAAAAGCAGTATATAGTATTACTTCTTAATACTTTGCTTAAAGATGAGAATTTAAAAAATGAGAAATTGTATTTCGTATACAAAATAGTGAAAGGGTTGAGACCCTCAAAACTGGTACTCTAGTGTAACATCCAACTTTTTTATTCTATTCTTATTTTTCATTTATGTAATGTTTCAAAAGTATAAGATGGTTTATGATTGAGGTAGATATACATATGTAATATTATTATATAGTGTATGCCTTTTAAATAATTGCATTTTTTTCCCCTAAGTGATTACTCCGGTTTCTTTTGTTTGCTTGTTTGTTTGTTTTTTAAATAGAAAGAGGAGCTTGTCTGATCTAAAATAGTTGCATGTGGCTAAGAAGAGTTCAGATGATTTTGGATTGACGTTCTTGGGTCCATATTAAATAGTCCAGGATTCCACTCACTACTCAGGTGACTTTCTCATGTAAAAAGGTTTAGGGTTGTGAGGATTCATTTAAGCCACTTAACTAGCTGGATGACCTTGACCCGATCACATTATTTCACTGATTCATAGTTTAAAATATGTGAGGATGGGGATAATTCTTTATTGGATAGTGAGAGTCAAATGGTAATGGAAGAGAAGGTGCTTTGTATACTTGTAAGTATTGTACAGTTATATTACTGTTCTTGTTTTGAGGTTTAATTATATAAAACTTTGGGTAGTTTGCTTTACCTTTCTGGGCCAAATCTAGTTCAAGGATGGCAAGTATGTTACATTTTGCTTACTTAAATCCAGTTGGTAGTGGCTGCCATGTTCTTATAGACATAGATGCATTGCTGGGCTTGGTGGGAAAGGATGCCATGATTAGTAATGTTTACTAATTACTAATTAGTAATTAGAGTCTTTGAAATACTTCTTGTGATTTTGTTACCTTCATTTATGGTAGTTATTAAAGTGTGGTACAAGCAAGGCTCAGAAGATCCAGGTTTTATATGCTGACTCATTAATTGAGCAAAGTGGTAAAAATGGAGATAATTCTATTATTTTGCAGGAGAGTTAATGTCAAGTGAGATAGCCATGAAAGGATACAAATAGTAGTGTCTATATTCCCATGGATGTTCATTTATACTTGTAGCTTTGGATGTGTGACTTTCCCACAGAGGTTTATTTTAGGGACAGGAGCCAAATTTGTACTTTTTAAGGCTGTCATTGCCTTGTATGTAGGTATTGTTTTTCCTTGTAGGTATTTATTAAGTGAATAAATCTTGAATAAGTGTGAATTAATGGAGAACATTTATTGAAGTTTATTCATTATTCAAGGCATTGGATACCTTGTTTTACTATTTGGAGTGAGCAAAATAACTAGGTAGGCTCCGTTTGGCTGGTATAGAAGACATTACATGCTGGCTGATGGTTTGGTTATTTATCCTACACACAGCTTAAATCTGGGGTGATTGTATAACTTGTAAAACACCCAATGTTTATCGTGAGTGTAAGAAATATTTGGAAAAATGTGATTTCAATTTTTATGTGGTCGTGGGGAGAAAAAGGATACTTAAACTTTTCCTTTGCCAACTTAAAGTTGTCCGTCCCCCCCCCCCCCCATTGAATTGAGTGGAAGTAAAAGTTAAGAGAGAATCTGAGCTGAGGCTGTACCTTATTTGGTGCTTCCCCAAATAAGGGCTTATGAAGTTTTCTGGAATAGAAAGCAAGAAGGGGAGCCCTTGTCAGACCTGGGAAGTCATTCCTGGTTTATCTACCTCGCAGGTGTTCCTGAGTGTTTCTGTGCACTCTGTATATTTTTTGCTATAGCATTTATTGCATTGTTTTATAATTACCTGGATCAGTCTGTCTCTCTTTCTTGTAAGCTCCTTGAGGGCAGGGACTGCATTTTTATATTTATGGTACGAGCAAAATATCTGGCAAATAGTAGGTGCTCATGTAAATTTTTTACTTTGACTAGAGTGTTCTTTACCAGAATAACTCCAAAGCCCTTTGGAGGATACCATGTTTCCTTGACTTTCTCATTAAACCCTGAATTAATAGAAAGCCCGTCATTCTGTTTTTTTCTTGTTGTTGTTGTGGGACTTACAAATATTTCTGAGCAGTATGTTCATGCATGTCTGTTGGTTTAGGTTATTTCTACTCCATTTAATGCTTACTTTGTTTTGCGTCTTATCAAGTCCTTAAAATACCAATAATTTATTTTGCTAGTTTTTTGCAATTATAAATAAAGCTGCTGTGAATGTTAAATTGGATAGTTTGTGATATTCATGAAGGAAGCTGATTTAGTCAGCTTGGGGTGCCATAACAAAATACCATAGACTGGGTGGCTTAAAACACAGAAACTTATTTTTCAAAGGTCTAGAGGCT